TGGATATCGGCTCGTTGAAGTTGATGGGCATAGGTATTTTGGACAGATCCTTGCCAATGCAGTTCTTCATCAGTGTCCACAGGTTGAGCGGATAGTTGGGCTTGTCCGGCACACGTGTGCGCCGACACCTGAATTGCACCTGCTTTTCGCTGGCCTCGTTGGAGCCACCTGTTGGAGGTGGATTAACGATTTCATTCGCTTGTGTGGCCGTGGTTCTGGCCAGCTCCAAGGATGCAATCCATCTTTTACGTTCCACCTCACTTACGGCTTTGATGCGAAAGGTTTGTTGGCTGCCATCGGAAATGGCAAAGGTGCAAGGGTCCACGATTTCAATGAGGGCAGCTTTGAGCGCTATCGAGCCGCGAGAGGTTTGATGGACTTCAGACTGATCAAGGTGGTAGCTGAGCACACCGTTGGAGAGCACAAACCAGCGTCGCTGATAACCCTTCATGTAATTTGTATACTTCAGCAGCCAGCCCTTCATTTCCGGGTTGCCTTCGATTGCAGCATGATTGGTTGCTCGCCCTCGTCTGCGTGACTTTTGGGATGATCTTAGTTTGTTGCCACTGGAGGTCTCGATGGCGCAGTCCGTGCTCATGCTCGAGCTGTTCCGACGCTGTCGGTGGTGCGCTCGCTCGCCAGACATATTCAATCCCTTGCGAATTACTGAATACAATTGACAAACGACGACTCCCCGGTTCGCATCGAGACCACATTCAGCTCTTATCTCCCGAACATTTTGCTAGTCAGCCAGATAAGGCCTCAGTTTTGGACACTGACTCAGTAGATAGTGCATTATCGCGGACGCTGAGAAAGGTGGTGCCACGGGTGTTGTTTTGTAGCTGAGGAGTGGTTGAACCGTAGGTTAGGATTTGTTAACGGGTATTCTCGTATTGGTAAGCTCATTGTTTAACCACATAATTTTTGCTTTATTTAAAATAATACTTTAATAATAAATTGCATAAATATATATAACATTTAACATATTCTCGTTGCATTGTTTAGAACCTTTTTCATTCTCTTTTATATATTTAATTATATACACAACAAAGGCAAAAACAATATTCGGCTACCGGAAAACTAGTTTCGTGTGTCTCCTTCTACTTGTTGTTGTTGTTGTTGTTGTTATTCTTTAGAGTGAAAAGCTGGTTCGCTTTTCACTTGCACATGTCTACATATGTTTATTGATTAGATATATGTATGTATATGTATGTTTAATTTTTGGATGGTAAGGTCTATGTGCCATAAGTAATTAACTGATTAAAGCAAAGATTAAATAAAAAACCGAACAAAATACAATTTGATAAACGCAATCAATGCGATGCGATTTTGAGATTAACTTGCCATAAAAACATTTCAGTTCCAACATTTGCAGCTACTTTACAGTAATTAATTTATATATGCACTAAGTAGTTGAAAAAATGTTATTACATCGATTAGTTTATAGTTCAGTAAAAGTTATTTATGCTTGACTGTGAGTGTCTTGGGGCGTTGTTTCTTTTATTTTTTTTTTTTTTTTTTTTGTTTGTTTAGGGATTGAGAGCGAAGTTTCGAGGCTTGCGTATTGAAATAATTCACATAGAGTTCAGCTATTAGTAGATATCTGGACAGCCGCTCCAGTTTTGAGCCGCCTTAGCCTCCCAGTATGTGTTCTTGCAGACATGCACAAAATTATCGCTACCCTCTTCCTTTTCACGCTTGAACCACATGGGCTCGTACGCTGGATAGGGTCGTCCCTCGGCAGCAGCCTGTTCGGCCTCAGTTTCACGTTCTCTTCGCGCCGTTCGCTGTTTCTCTTCAAGGCGCACTTTCTCCTTGTTGCTTTCCTCCCATAAACCTTCCTCCATAAGTCGCTGATCGGGACGAAGACGCGAGTCTGTGGGCGCTACACCTTCTTCCGGCTCGTTAAGCTGACAGGCAAATGTGGTGAAGTTGTAATACTTTTCCGACTCTGGTGGAGCCGCGCGACGCTTCCATGCAACCTTGTACTCGCCAGTAGTATAGGTAGGACCCTCCGCCGTGCCGCTGGTGTGCAAGACAGGTGCTATTTCGATTTTGTCGTCCCAGGTACCACGTACCACCCACTTAGCTTCCTTATTGCGATTGATTACCACGCCTTTCACGCTGCGCTGTACATCACGGCTGAAGTAGGAGTAGGGTATATAGTTTAGGATGCACTTGTTTCCATGCGCTGCATTGGTGCCCACTATCTCCATCGTTCCGTGCTGATCCACCCAGAGCTTGCCGACGATAATGTTATTTACAGTGGTTGTAACTTTGTGCCAGGAGTAGCGATGACCACTTTTGTGAAACAAAACGTATGCACCGCCAAGCGGATTAACCTAAACAAACGGATGGGTAATTTTTTTTTTGGTCAACTATTACGAAAACTTACCTGCAAATATTTGCCGCGGAACTTGCTCGTCATGGAAAACTCCTGCCAACATACCCAATCTTTTCCCTCACAGTGCAAAGCAGCTACGGGCGGATGATGAGACACCTGCTCAGCCAAGCAGCGCCAGCCTAGATCATCCCTACGGTCACATTCGTATGTTTCACCCAGCAATGGATTAAATGGTTTGCCAGTGCGAATCGCTGTCGTCCCATACGCGGATACCGTAAAGGCCGCCAAATAGGCCAACTGCTCGCTTTCATCGGTGCACGAGGCAGCATGATCCAAGATTTCGGCATACTCATAATCCTCGACTAGACGCTGTAGCAAGGAGAGCGGCTCGTTGAAATTAACGGGCATAGGTATTTTGGACAGATCCTTGCCAATGCAGTTTTTCATGATTGACCAGAGACTTAGCGGATAGTTTGGCTTGTCCGGCACACTTGTGCGCCGATTTCTGGCCGGCATCAGCTGCTTGCTACCTCCGCTCGCCCTCGCACTGCTACTTGGTAATTCATCTGGGTTGGCGTTCGGGACGCGCTCAACTTTGTCTGCTTCGTCGTCGTCCCCAGAGGCCACGCGTGCTGCGCTGATAAGACACACTTGCTGTACGGTTTGAATGGTGCGCTTCTGCTCGTCGCTTTCCGATGAACTGCCTGTCTGGCCCTCGGAGCCGACGTGATCCTCGGAACTGCTGCGTCTTTTGTTAAGCTTTAGTATAAACGTGCCGTCTATTGGCGATTCGCCTGTTCGGCCGTAGCCGTATTCCTCGGCATCGAAAAATTCGGTCTCGTCGTCTGAGGTTAAATTCGTGCCGGGGGGCCCTGAGTTTATAGACATAGTTGTGCTGGACGATGCCAATGGCAGCGGCTTGTTGCGGCGCACCAGCACGGCAGCCTGCTCCATTTGCGACTGCTGCTTGGCCATCTGCTCAATGATCTCTTCCAGTCGCTGGCGCTGCTCACGCTCATGGTGCAACATCTTGGACCATTTGTGGCCCTGCGATTCAGCCGATCGCAGATAGTCGTTGCCCGCATTGATCATTGCATTTGATGTGATCCTGAAAAGTGTGGCGCGCTCGTTAACAATCTTAGTACGACTCGCCAGTGATTCCTCCTCATTTGATTCCAGATCGTTTAGGGCTCGCTGAAGTGCTGCGCCGTGCTTGGTTATCAGATCGTAGCATGTGCGCATGTTCTCCAGGCGTTCGGTGAGGTCGCGCACCACAGTGTTGATCTCCTGACTGGGCACCACCTGCGCCGTCTCCTCTGCCTCCTCCTCTTCGCTCTCAATGGCCCGTATGGCCTTCACTTTGGCCAGCTCCAACGATGTTACCCACGACTGCCGCTCGACCTCATTGGCCGCTTTGATGTGGAAGGTTTGTGTGCCGCCGTTTGAGATGACAAACGTGCACGAATCCACGGTGTGTATGAGCGCACCATGGAGCGATATCGTACCGCGGCATGTGTGATTGATCTCCGATTGATTGCGATAGTAGCTCAGCACACCCTTGGATAGCACAAACCAGCGACGTTGGTAGCCCTTGATGTAGTTGGTCCACTTTAGCAGCCAGCCCTTCATTTGTGGATCGCCTCCGCCCTTTTCGGCCGCTGGCTTTGCCGCAGCGTCCGCCATGCTCACAATCGGTCTGCTCCGCTGCCGTGCTTGTGCCCACCGTGACAATAAAAATCTATTAGCACTCGCTTGCCTACGACCTCGACCGCTTGTTGACCGATTCAGACTCAGATTCGGTTTCGCAAACGCCACGTACAATCGTAACGGGGGGGATGGGTATGACAACAACTCCAAATCCAAGTCCGTAACAAAATATTTAATTAGCTGCTGTTTGTAGCAGCTGCTGGCATTATAAATTACACTTTGGCAGCATTCGTAATCGCGTACACAATAAATTTCGTTACTTTAGCGGCAATACTAAGTACTTTTTTTCTGCACAAAATAAAGAAACTGTGGAAGTCAAGTGCGCATTTGTGTGCGTGTGTATTGGCGTATGTGTGTGGCTGTGTTGTGTGAGATATTTGTGGTGTGACCGAATTTGGCAACTGCAAATATACTTCTTTTTTAACTAAATGCATGTTATTAGTTCAGTTAATTAAAATGCTTACTTAATAAATTAATTTTTTTATTGACAATATGTTTACTATGCAAGCAGTATGCTCAAGCTCATTATAGCATTGAGTTTTTAGTTTCTTTTTTTAATTTTTTAAATACTATAAACAGCTAGTGCTGCCAACTGTTCTTAAGAAAATACTGCACACATACTCCAAAACTTTCGCCAGAACCGCGACAATTTAAATATGTTCTTTGTACATGCAAAAAATATTAAATCTACGTGTAATTTTGTTAACGATAATTGAAAACAGCCAACAGTTGTGCAATTTATTTTCAAACTCAGTGAGCGATGACGCTAAGTATACCTGAGTAATCTGATACATTTTAAAATTACGACTCAATATGGGCCGTGGGCCTGTTGATTAATTGGAAGTTGGCTTTACGACTGCCCCTCGCAGCTGCATGTGGCTGACACACACACACACTCACACATACACGCACACACTCACAATGACTCATTTCTCTTGGTGGCAATAAAATAAATATATTTATTAATATTGGTATCGCGAATTTACTAACATATCAAGTTTTATAAATTAATTAATTAAATATGTTTCGTGGATAGCTCGTTAAAAGAACATAGGTGGGGTGACATCAAGGTTCGGTGGCTCACTTCTTGCACTCGGCCCAGGAGTAGCGAAACGTGGCTATCATGCGGTAAAGGCTGCAAATACAAACTTGGTCGTAAAAGCTGATGGCAAAGTTCATTGGACGGCACACATAATAAATACATACATACACACACACACACACATATAGACAGACAAATATAATGCGACTGAGTCAGTTAACGGGCAAAGGCACAGGCACAGGTGGAGTCAGAAGCGAACGAATGAACAAACACAAGTCACCACATGAAATACATATGTGTATACACATACATACATATATATACAATAAATCATTTATTCGTAGGCAGTTCTTGCATAATATAAAATAAATATATGTATATAGTTACAAGTAATTTAAAAATACAAAATACAGTTTCATTTTCATAGTTTGTTTTTGTTTTCTTTTTTCGTCCCTGACGGCACTTTTCACAAAACATTCAGATATTGGATGTTGAAATGGATGTGGGTTCTGTGGATAGGATCACTAAAACAAACGCTTCACAAATAAACAATTTAATGATGGATCGTACAGAGCTTTGAATAAAGACAGACAGTGAGTGAGAGAATGGGGTGGGGAGGCGCGTCGGCGAGAGAGACACAAATGTAACGCAACGTGAACAGTGAATAAAAGCAAAAATACATATAATTAATACAAATAATAGGCAAGTGTCGAGCTGAAAAGCAAAAATAATAATAGCTTTAGGACTGCTTAGTTACTATTTTTATGAGTTCTGTGTCAATATGGGTGTCTGTATGTGTGTGTGTGTCTGTGTGTCCGCGAGAGAGAGTAATAGAGAGAGAAAGAGAAATTGTGTGTAGTAAGAAAGAGCATTCCTTTACATGGTATTGTATGCAGCGGTGTTGAAGCTTTGCTTTGGTAAACTTAGCCTAGTGAGTGGATGGGTCTTTCCATGCTGCGCTAGACGGCGATGTTGCACTTGTTGTTGCTGCTGCTCAGATTGTTGCAGATGAGCCATGGTGTTGTGTTGATGTTGTTGCAGCTGGTTTAGATTAGTGGCATTGTGTCGGGCAGGTGCGGGCGGTGGTCGGTTCTCGCTGTAATCGTGTGCTCTGTTTGACAGCGATCGATCGTAGTAGGAGCGAGGGCGTTGCCTCAAACTAGGGACGCTTATGGTACCGCTGATGGTTGCGGTGGTGGTATTGGTGGTTATATTGTTGGTGGGTGGCGGCAGTGTTGTGGTTATTGGCGTTGCCGCAGCAGGATTGTTACTATAGGAAGTGTTTTGATATTTATGCACTAGACCTTTTACATTACGATCACAAGTTTCGCTTACGCTGGAGTCGGACGAGTTGGCTGATGTGCTGGACGAGGACTTGGTCGTCGTTGCATTTCCAGCCACATTGTCCACCAACACATGATCCGCATGCTGAGCAACCGGTGAGGATGGCAGTGATTGATGTGTCGCTTTCTTGATTGGAACAGTTGCATTAACATTCGCGCCGGCAGCTGTGCTGCCAATGCCCGGCACACCCACCACTACAGCTTTGGCTTCAAAGTTTTGCTTGAGTATTTGCACATTGCCCGAAATCCGCTGATCTTCGGCCACAGCAAGGCTTTGAGTGCGCATTACCACTACCAAATCGGCTGCTGTGTTCTTGTTCTCGATATCGCTTGTATGCATGAGCTCCTCGCTGTTGCAGCGCAATGGCTGGCGCTGACGCGTAGTGCTCGCCGAGGAAGCGCTGCGAAACAGATTGGCACATTTCTTTTCACCTGCCACCGCCACGGCTGCCGCCGCGTCTAGATCATCCAGCTCGTTCTCCTGGCAGCGTTTTTTCAGTGTCGTGTTCTCCTCCAATTTCTGTTTGGTGCGCTTTACTGTGCCCAGCTGCGATTCGCTGGCATTGCAGTTGCTCGTGGTGGTGCTGCTGCTACTGCGCTTCAGATCCTGAATTTCACCTTCGAAAATGGCTGTGGTGTTGCGATTGCTGTCGTAGTAGCTGCAGGAACTTGTCCGCAGCGGCAAACTGCTGCGATTGTCGCCCGATCCCCAACTGGCATGGCGTGAGGGCTGTCGCGGACCGCGCGTTCGAAGTACGGCACTGGGTGTTACATTTGACTGCTGGGGCACTGCGTCCAGAATTATTCCACCGCTGGGTCCAAAGGATTCCGTCCAGGATTGCGTTTTGCGCCGTTGACGCTTCTCGCGCTCATCCGCCTGCCCCACAGTAGAGGTAAATACTTCCGAAGTACTGGAATCGCGACGTGAAAATGATGTTTGCGTAATCAGCTTGGACAATGAGGTCCACACAGGTCCTTGTGTTTGCGCTGGCTGCGTCTGTGCTGGGGCCTGCGACAGCAGACTGGGACGCGGTGGCTCCTGATGAGCCTCGAGATCATGGACACGCGTACGCACTGACAAGGGCGTGTTCTTCTGTATGTGCAGCACCTGATTCTGGGTGACGCTATAGTTTTCGCCATTACTGCCTGGAAAGCGCATGTTTTTCGGCTCCTCCGCCACGCTTCGTTCTGGCGTTAGATTCTCCATAGATTGGCTTTGCTGTTTGATCACTTCCACGGCACATTGTGTCTTGGGCGATGTGCTGCTCGAGCGACGCATCATGCGACGCTGTTTTTGTGCGCTGCTGCGACGATACTGACCACGCTCGCTGCTGTCCTGTTGCTCAGCGGCCGACTCACCAGTTGATTTTGATTTGGCCTGATTGAGCGCCTGTATCAGTGGCGTTGGCTCACTGCCCGGCAGAAGGCGTGCATCCTTTGTGCTTTTCAGATTGGTCTCACTCTTGCTCCGCTGCAGCTTCTCCTTATTCTTCATTGCATCCAGCATTCCGCTGTACGTTTCCAGCTGATTGAGAAAATTCTTGTTCGGCTTAATGCAGTTTCGACGCTTCTTAACATGCTCCAGGGCGCGCTGGAACTCCCATTTGTATGCCTTCATTGCATAAGCAATGACCACTGAAGCAGATCGACTTACACCCATTTTACAGTGCACCAGCACCTTGGAACCTTCGGACTTGGCGCGAGTTATATAGCGAAATGTGTCATCCCAGTACTTAAGTAGATTCGTTTTCTCATCGTCATAGACGCGCACATTGAAGTACTCAAAGGTGCCCGGAAAGAAGTTATCAATCTCGCGGGTCACGTTCAGAATGTGTCGAACACTGTGTGGAAAATAAATATATGTATAAATATATATTTGCTGGCTTCAGAATTAACAAACCTGGTTTACGTTTTGTACTTACCCATTCTTTTGTAACTCCTCCAAATTGCTGGCATTCCATTCCGAACCCAAATAGACGTGATCAAAAATTTCAGTGGGCGCATCCATTTGCCCCAAAATACGCAGCATTTCAGCATCGATAAATGACTTGTACTCGCCCAGATCCATATCTAATAAATCTTCTAGACGGCCACGTATATACTTGGAGGTAACTTCATCCAAATCCACCGACATCATAATTGCTTTGAGCTTCATTTTAATGACACTTTCAGTTTCCTCCTTGGCGGTTGGCCTGCAAACAACAGAGGCACAGATTTAAAACATAATCTATGATCATGTTCTGTACAAACAAATTTTTTAACGATTCGCAAAGCAGTTAAATCTGCTGGCAACTGGCACAAGTTTAGTTTAGTTTCCTACTTGTTTCTTATGGCATCTGGTGAGGGCGGGCGCCGACTCTCGAGGGCATCCATGGCATTCCATTCGTTTAAACACGACTGATCCGACTCTATGCGACTTTCGTAGATGGATAGCCAATCGTGCGATGGTCCGCTTGGATAGAAATTGTTTTCACGAGCCTTTCGAGACACTTTGTGCAGCGTTTGCAGCGCTGACCTATAATTATAAGACCAAAGAATGAATGAAATAGTTGTGCCCTTAGAGTTCTTTGAGAAAATGGCTTACCACATAGCTTGCACCGATACGGGCTTAAATATGTGGGTCTTCTCGTAGACGGCGACACTGAAACCACTGCAAAAATTGTATAAGAATAATGGAATTTGGACAGTTAATTCGATACCCACCCGTCGCCGTCCAGGTGAATTGTGGTATCCGCGAGTATGGGCACGACTAGGCCAATGGTCGTCCGCTCGTTGCAATCAATGCCCAGCAGGCATGATTCCTCCATGCCCGAGGTATTCTTGTTGCTGTCGCCGGCGCCAGCAATAGTCGTATCCCGACCATCGGCATCACATTTTAGGCTTTGACGATTGGCGTTAATCGCTAGATGCTTCGCCGTTTCTTCTTGAGCGAGTTGCTGTGTCTTGTGGCTATCCACGGATAACTGGCGTTGCGCAACAGGTGTGCCGGGCGGAGCTGGCGTTGCGCTAGCCGTCGACTTAACAGAATTATGACGCATGATTTTAGTGCGTCGCTCACTACTGGCCGCCGTGCGGCAACAGCTGCGCGACGCAATCACAAGGTAGCGTGTTCGATTCGAACGCTGCGACTCCAGTTTGACAGCCTGTAAAGATAAGAGCTGTATGAGCAATTGATAGTCCAATAAATAGATATTCATTGTACTCACCATTTTCAAGGTGTCCTCACGTTGCAGTAAATAGAACATGGACTGTAAATGCAGCTGTATGTCCGAGTTATTGCTTTGCGTACTATTGGTGGATCGCGTCGAATCAGTGCTAAGGCGACGCTCCGCGTGTTGCGGTATGTCCTTGAGTGCCAACACCAGAGCGGTGCCTTTGCCAGCAAAATAGCATTCACTCCTTTCGCTTTTATTGTTACTGTTGCCCTCATCGTCATCAGCCTCGCCATCCTGTAAATACATTCCATATGTTGTTTATTTCCTTATTCAATTTCTTTCACTTCTTCCGCGAATTGCGATTGCAGCTAAGTGACTCAGACTCACCCAACGGTGTATACAAAATATAATATCTGATTCTGACATTTTTGGAGTTAAGTGAAATTCGTAACCAAACAAACTTTTGATGATGAATTGCTTTGCAGTGAGAGAGAGAGAAAGAGAGAAGCGGAGAGCAGGCGAGCGTAGCCACCTACATGGTGGGTAGAGCTTATGTTTACAATATTGTCTAATGAATAAAAATTCCAAGGGCAGGCCGCAGCCAAGGTCTTGAGAACTATTTTTGGGGGGGCGAGGACGTTGCCGTCGCTGCGCTAACGGAACCAGCAAGAAAAATCGCAGAGCTAAGTTGACAAAACTACAAATAAGGTAATGCAAAATTTTCAATTTATTGAAAATGGAAGAGAGCGCGCGCGAGACATGGTGAGGCAGCTGCGACGTCGCGACGTCTGCTCTGATTTGCTTGAGTTACAACAATAAATAACAAGAAAAGGAAAGAGCACTCTAGTCGACGGTTCCCAATTAACAGATACCCTGTAATCTAATTCGAGCTGCCTTAATATACATTCGATTATATGACAAAAGCCCACCTTTATACTTTTTATACGAATACGAGAGGAGTTGTTAATTATTAAAAACATCCCATAAGAAGTCTGATATACATGAATATTATATAAATATTCAGCTCTTCAAAGTTCCTGCACTATCTACTTCTCAAAGTGTCTGAAGCAAACCGACGGGCATGGGGGCAAGTAAATGCTTCCTTCTGCCTGCTACATATATTTGTACAAAACTATTATACCCTTTTTTTCATCCATTTTCAATAGGTATTGGACATAAAAACAACAACAAGAACTACCACATCAAACAACAAACAGATGCGCGAATCGTGGCGCGACTGATGATGACGCTGACAAAACGCCCACAACACGACAAACAGCCAGAGAGCGGCGCGTAGAGCGAGACTGGAGCGCTTTTGATGATATTCGCATTTAAATAAATTGGCCATATGGGCGCAAAGCACACGTATACACAACAAAAGGATCACTGACTAACACGGAACACGCACAGGAAGTGGTTATAGGCGGTGGCCAAGGCACGCGCACACACACTCACACACACACACATACACCTTCCAACTCAAATGAGCTACATTAGCAACGCGTAACCAAAACAAAGCAAAATCATAGAGAGAGGGAGAGAGAGCGCGTGCGAGCGTGTGAGTGTTTGATTACAGCACAAACACATACACATACACACACACACAAACAAATAAACAAATGCGTAGCTGGTTGCAGCTGTAAAATTGCACCTTACATAGAAATGGGGCAACTCACATATTTTGCAGGCCGCCCGTTGCGCCCACTTCCTACTTCACATTTACTGCACATACATACATATATATTTATATATAAATTCAAACAACTCACCGAATTCGAGCAAGAGCCCGCCACACTTGGCGAACGTTGCACTGTCACTAGCGCCATTGTGTTCTGTTGCTGTTGGGTGCTTCTTCTGCTGCTACTCCGTATCCAAGGCCTTCGTTATGGCCTATGCTGGCCGCGTGCTTTTTCCAATCCTTTGCTGAGGTTCGTTGGGCTTATGTGCGTGTGTGTCTGTGTGTATGTTGAGTCAAGTGTTGGGGCGAAAATTCACAAATGCATTTTTATTTTGTCGACGTCGTTTCCTCTCCGTTGTTTTTGCACTCGGCACTTCGTCTTGTCTAACTTAAAAGGCTAAGATTATGGCGGCACGTTGCACCGAACTGCAAAAACAGCACACGCCCGTTTAAACGATTAACAGCGCACAACGTATACGAATAAATATGATAAATGTTTTTACAAAAAAGTTTTCGTCAAAGAGCCAGAGCCAAAGGCAGTTTAGCACGACGACGCCATATTTAATTTTATAGTCGATAACAGGTACTACGAGTTCTGAAACTAATCGAATAAGTACAAACTTGCTCATATTTGCACAGGTTGGCAGCTCACGATAACAAAAATATATCGACTGTGGCGGCGAATTAGTGAGGTTGTGGTGCGACGTGAACAGATGGCGAAATTACTTAAGACGAGGAAGTTATTGACTTACTAATATACGTTTTGGTGGCTTCTGCCCATTATTTAGGCAAATGTCCGGCTTCATTGAGGAAAAAACCTGCATGTTACCACGCATAGCGCTCATAGCGTGTGGATGCTTTAGCCCTCCAACGCCTATGCATTTGCGCTTGTTCGGTAAGTAATTTGTTTACGACGGCCCGGTGATAATCAATATTGACATTGACATTGAATCTCATGTTAAACAGAGATAGCACGAGATTACTTTGAACTTCGTGGTACACACAAGGTTGTGGGTGGCATTATATCACCCACACATGATTCCTATGGCAAGAAGGGACTGGCGCCTTCGATAGATCGCTGCGCGATGATAAAGCTTGCGGTTCAGACCTCCACCTGGATACGTTTATCAGACTGGGAGGTACACCAGCCGCAATGGATGCGCACACAATCCGTGCTGCAGCATCACCAGAACTACCTAAATAACTATATCAACTCGCCGGGGGATGAGGAGCAAAATGGTCTACTACCTGGTTGGTTGCCACTTGGTCTTCGGGAACGTCGTGATCCCATAAGTCTAAAGCTGTTATGTGGCGCCGATTTACTAGAATCGTTTGCAGTGCCCGGCTTGTGGGCCAATGAGGATGTAAGACACTTGTTACATAGCTGAGAAATAATAAATGATTCCAAGTTTCTCCTAGATTGAAGAAATAGTGGCGAACCATGGACTAGTTGTCATATCCCGCTGTGGCTCAAATCCTGAAAAATTTATATTTGAATCGGATATTCTAACCAAATATCAGGTGAGTATGCAAAATGCTAAACGGAATGCTTATATTAATACGCATTGAAATTTGTAGCGCAACATAACGCTTATTACAAACTGGGTGCCCAACGAAGTCAGCTCTTCTCTGGTGCGTCGTCTCCTAAATCGCGGTGAATCGGTCAAGTATCTTCTAGATGACCTGGTGCTCAGTTATATAAACCGTCAGGGGTTGTACAATGTGAAATCGTAAGTGCCAACGTTTGTTTAACCCCACTATTCATTCATTTTTGGCACCACGCTTAAAACTTGATACGTACACTGATTGGACTTAGTTAGCGCCACTTGCTGCATCCTGACACTGCCATCGACAGTCAGCCACACTCTGCCCGAACATAGCGACCATGCAATTGCACCAAAACCAACTATTTGTAACTCTCTCTTTTGCAATGATTTCATACTGAAGGCAGGATACTCCGCCTGAGGGCAAAGCATGACGCTGTCTGCACTGCACCTTGCACCATTTAGAAATAGCACCAACAGATCGACAAACGCAGGAGCACCACCAACATCAACACCACCATCAGCAAAAATATTACCACTATCAGCAATCAACTCAAGATCTACTCGTGCAGTGGCGCCTGTTCATGGAGTGTGAGTGTGCAAAAGCAGAGAATTCATAATAGAAATTTTTAAATTTATAGTTTGCCTATTTTCTTGCTCTTGCATGTAAATATACACTCTTTTTGTAAATACATAACAACACGTATGTACACTTCTAATACGCCTGATGTTATATGGTGTTCCAGTGTACGTATCAGCTTAGGTTGCACCCAATTTCTTTTAAAGAATAACCCATTCATATAACACACTATAACTTGTTGTTGTTGTTGTTGTATTGACACGCATACATTTATGATGGATTGTAGTAAGTATATAACGGATGCAGTGCGTCCAAATCATTTGAATTTCAATCGCGTTTACATGGATAATAACAAGAATTCAGTGAAATTGGACAATGATCAATCGGAACAGCTAATGGATGAGTCGGACAGTCCGCTTAGGCAGCAGACAACGCGCGTCTTTTGCTGTGGCGAAACGCCACGGGCCAACACCAAGCTGCTCCTGAATCGCTCAGGACCGGGTCAGGCGGTGCAGGTCATAACAGTACAGGCCAAGGACAACGGCAGCAACGACGCTTTGGAGGTAAGTACAAGATGTTACATTTATAGAGCTGAGCTAATGATATCAATCGAAACTCTTGCAGCAAACGCAGGCCAAGAAACAGAAGATTGCCCAAGTGCAGCAGGTCTAAAGTGCTCAAACGAGAAATTACGGAATAATACAGGCTGGATACTTACAAAGGACTATGTTTTTGGTGTTGTAGATATCATATTGTAAAAATAAATAAATGTTATTTACTGGTTAAATGTTGCTTAGCTCCTCGAGACTAGTAGGCGCATTTCTTTCTCCTCTTTGGGTCAGTCCATCAACTGGAAGGCATTGAACTTGCTACCTTCTATTGAAGTTCTTGCGCGTTCTTGTTACGTGCATTGACATTGCAGCGAGAGGGCTTCCCAGTTGCTGCACACCCTCGCCCAGTTGGCATATCATGTGACAAACTGTTGCAAGCTGCTTGCCATTGTTTGATTCTGGACTTGGAGGCGCTGTCAGTTGCGCGCTTTCAGTCGCCGCGTTTGGTTCGTAGCTTAAGTGAATGTTTTTCTTCCGGCGTTCTAATGTCAAGCCCCCGCCACGACCCTCGCGAGCACCGTCCTTTGCATTACCCAAGCGCCATTCGCCCGTGCTGCTGAAGCCCTCGCATCAACACGATCAGCTACCATTTTTGAGACGCTCTCGGTTCAGCGCCTTGCCGCACTTTCGCGCCTACGAGGATGAGCCGGAGAGCCTTTCCTTGTTTATTGCCATTCTCTATGTGGTGGACCTGTTTGGTATCTTTCCGTTTTTGACGCTGCCCGCACTGCTGGTTCGCCTGGGTTACTTTGGCTTGCTCCTAGTTTTATCCATCATCTTTCTGCAAATGTACACATCCTTTCTGCTGTCGCAATGCTGGACTATGGCCGAGTATTTGGATCCCTCGATACTACAGAAACGCAACTACCCTTATGCTGCACTCGCAGAGCTGGCCTATGGACCCTATATGAGCCTGTTGGTATCGGTGCTGCTGGACCTGAGCATCTTTGCCATGGCTGTGCCCAGCATTGTCATGGCTGCCGAGAATCTGGAGGCTGTTGTGCTCCGCATGAGCGCTGGCCAATACAGTTTCTCCTACTGCTATTGGGCCATTGTTGTGGGTCTCGTTATCTGTCCACTCATGTGGCTTGGCAGTCCCAAGCACATGCGGTAATACGATCTTTTTTGACAGGCAATGGCATTTCATGTCCTTACAGACACTAAAAATATAATGCCTCGTAGCAGACATATCCGATTTCATTATGTACACTTATGCATATTTCTCCTTATCCAGAAAGAATATTATAATATATAGTTATAACTAAGTCAACTATGCTCTTCGTATCCATACACTAGCTAGGAAATCGAGGCCATGAACTCGTTGTTAAGAAGAAATTCTTATATGTATTGATGACATTTTAAGTGCACTCAAAAATAATGAGATTAGGAAATATTTAGTTAATTTCGTCTGAAAACACTTTTGTAAATTTTCCATATGTCTGCAAGGGTATTGAATCTTCGTGGATATTCTCACCAGTTTAATTCTTATCTTTGATTTCTCACCTATCAGCGGCCTGGCCATTATGGCCGCTTGTGTATTGATTATAATTGTGGGGCTGCTCTGGTATTGCCTGCTCGATGCGGCCGCGATTGGAGCGCCGTTTCAAGGAATCTCGATGGGTGCGCAAGCTCCCACTAAATAATATAAATGTATGTGTATATATTTTTTTGGTTTTACAGAGCTACCTGGTTTTCTGACCATCCTGAGCAGCTACAGCATTCTGGCCTTCCAGTTCGACATACATCCCATGCTGCTCACGCTGCAAATCGATATGAAACGCAAATCGCAAGTGTCCTGGGCGGCGCTTGTTGGCATTGCCAGTAAGTGGAGACTTGTTAATGCGGCTGCCGCAGCACGTTGATCTCCATCTGTTTAGTCACTTGCAGCGTGGCCATTGTTGGTGCCATCATAGCCGCCTACAAGTTCGGTGCCCTGATTGCCAGCAATCTGCTGCAGTCGCTTCCCACCAGTGTGCCCTTCTATGTGATGCTGATACTGATGTCGCTGCAGCTGTGCTTTTCGGTGACTGTGGCCGGCTCTGCCATGTTTCTGCAGATCGAGAACTTCTTCAAGTTGCCCGAGTGTGAGTCACGGAATGATATTCAGTCTTGGACAGCCTCTTATGCTCTTTCATTTAGCTCTTTCCTGCAAACGCATTCTCATACGTTCCGGTGTGCTGGCCCTGGAGGTGCTGGTGGCCGAGTTTGTGCCCAGCTTTGATACGCTCATGGATGTGGTTGGTGGCACCATCACCGGTCCCTTGGTGTTTATTCTGCCGCCCTTGCTGTACCGTCGCATACGGCGCATGGAGCGCGTGCATCAGCGGATTGCTGCCGAGGCCAGCTATGGCAGCCTGCCGCTAGATCTCAACTACGATCCCATTGAGCTGGAAATGGAGCCGCTTTTGGTGGTGGCCAAGCCGCATACAACGCAAGGCTGTTGGCTGCGCCTGGTGCGTCTGTTGCATCGCTTGGAATGCGACATATCCTGCACCATGGGCGTGTTGATCTTTGGTTTATTGGCCACATTTCTCTCCACCTATCTGAATTTGTTTACGCTTGCGGATCTGTTCAAGAACAATTCACCCTGCCTGAGCAATCTAACGGCGCATTAGTGGAAGTTTTCTTGTAGTTTTAATGCCATGCATGGATTCACCCTGAGCTTAAAGTTAAGATTTAGACATCTCTATTAATATAAACTATCATCAACCATCTTGTCATTGTTGATGCGTTGAAAATATTGTGTTTTATTTCCGTCCTTCGACAAGTTCAAAAACCTCAAATGCCAAATTTGATGCAATATTTGTTTAATTATTATGT